TCATCAAGACCAGATCTTCTTGGACAATTCGTTCACAAAGTTCCAAGGGTCGTTCTGAATAATCACTGATGTGAAAGGTGGTATCCATGCATTTGACATGAATGGAGTTTTGTTCTTTGTCGAACGAATACAAATCTGGATATCGCCGTGGCAAGTAATCAAGAAAGAGTTTCAAACATTCTTGTTGGGCTTGCAAGCACTTGTCATCAGACTCTGCCACAAAGACGGTGGGGAATCGCTCTGGATCATCCAATGCCTTTTTCTTCATGGTGAGTTCCTCTTGGAGCCGAAATGGTTCTTCTACCAAAAAGAACTTGGAGTCACCGAGTCTTTTGAGACCAGCTCGTAACATCCCGGGAGTGTCTTGTCCGGAAATCCCTGCTTCCAACCATCGTGCTGCCAAGGGATACTTACCAAAGTCAGGACCGCCCAGCAAACCAGCTGAAGAGCAATACATCATGGCGGCTGCTGCGGTTGTCTTTAGTTTCAATGAACTATCTGACAAACTTGGCCAGCCAGTGGCCTTTATCCATGCACCTGTACCCGGATACCAGGAACAGCTTCGTCGGACATTGGATTTGACATTTAGCAAATTGCTCAAGATGGAAGCACCCATGTGGAGGAACAACTGGGGATTAGCACCCTCAGGACAGCTTGACAAACCATTGTATGGATCCTCCCAAGCAGCAGAAGATCCTTGCTTTCAAGCCTCCAAAATGACAAGGGCCGATGTTCAAGGAACCTTTCTCAAGGTAGAGTATCAAACCATTCGCCGTTTACCAAAGTCGGGATACTTGCTCTTTACTGTCAAGACCATGGCCGATCCCATGAGTAGCTTGGAGCAAACTCCCAAAGCTGCTGCTTGTTTGGCCAAGTCAATTCGAGGCATGAGCTCGACCATGAGAGTTTACAAGGGAATCCAGAATGATGACATTTGCAAAGTGGTGCTGGAGTATCTGGATAGCATTGCTGTTGTTGTTGTTGACCAAGCGACGAAAGGAGAAGCAGGAGTAGAAAAATAATGAGGCAGAGATCGTAATTAGTTGCTTCACCGAGAGGCAACTACAGTAGGAAACAGGGATTCTTGGACGAGCTGCGCGTAATGAAATAGTGCCCATTCGGCGACCAAGAAGCATCTTCGTTCGGTCCAACTGTTCCAACTGAATTGCTTAGTATGGTAGGATGGAGCTAAGATTTGAACTGCACTGAAGGATTGAGTGTGTAAGGTGTAAGACCTCTACATCTACATCGTACTCTAGGAGTACTGAGAGCACACACTACCGTATGGCTAACGTGGTGGCCTACAAGAACGCTCTAGACTTTCACTGCGGACTGAAGACCGTGGCGCCGTGGCGTGGATATGGGACCGGTACCGATAGTGGTGGATGGTGGAGGAGATTTGGAGATTTATTTCCAGGGTCATCTTCGGAGTCATCTCCATCCTCACCATTTGTTGCAACGATAAATGGGCGCGATCACAATTGGGTCTTGAGTGATGAGGCACGGTCATTCTTACTAGGAATCGAATTTCGTCTCGGAGACGATTTGCTTTTAGGGGTAAGGGTACTGATGGGGAGTGGAGGTTTGAATTATACCCCGCGTGCATTACTTAGAGGCCTCTGTAGAAGTCTACGTATTCGACTAGTATTGTATTGACGGGATACAGTCAACGCATGTACATGCACATGATAGTTGCCTTGCGTTCTTCACATTTTTCGCATGAATGAGGCCTAGGGATCCGTTTCGGGGCGAAGCAGAGAAAGGGATGAGCGCGCGGAGCGCGCGAATACTAGGTGTTGGTAATAAAAGATTTATGGAAACGGAGACGAGCCAGGAGGCATATGAATCTCAAAGAACACGATGTGCCTTTTACAACTGAGTTTTTCGTCCAGTTTTGATCGTGAAAGGTGAAAGTGTTGAGTGGATGATGGTCAAGAGCCAAATTCACATCAATCAGAGAGGCCGAGAGAGGTAATAACATCCAAGCAACGAGGATCCTTCGTCTGTTTCTACCGGTACGATGATGAATAGACTCGTTCTTGGAAGCTTGCTGGTCGGCCTTGGCTACGCACAAATGGCGCCAAAGTTGAGACCCAACAGCACCGAGGAATTATGTGCTGACGAACCATCCAATGGTCTCCTCAACGGGGACGAGTGCTACTCTGTCGATATCAGCACATGCCAAATAAGGAATAACGAGATCCGGGATTGCGTCTTGGCTGAAGGGACCTACGACTATTATCTCACCAAAGACGAAGAGGGCGGCGGATACCCCCGGATTTCTTTGTGGACGGTCCTTTTCACCGCCAAGTTCGGGCCACCAGAGTGTGGCGGCAACTTTTGCGAAGTGACAGTGGAAGATGGCGACCAAAACCAGGAACAATATCCCTACTACTGTAAAGTGCTTGCCGATGGCGAAGTTGAATTGGTGACTCAATCTGAAGATCATCCTAGAGCAAACAACATCTTCCAAGCAGGCTCGCAATTCATCTATATCCAAGAAGAGGGAGGATACCTCAAGCTGAAAAACGACCCAGATTACTGCGAATACCTTTTTTCCAGTGATACACCATCCATTGTCTTGAGTGATGCGCCGTCCTTTTTCTATAGTGGCGGACCCTCCACTGCCCCTTCCATCGTTCCCTCCTCAGTCCCAGGCAGCATTGCTCCATCAGTCTTTGACTACAGCTGCTACAATGAAGAGGGAATTAGTGGCTTTGACTTGGATGATGATGTCCCGGATGACTGCTATGATGTCAATATAAATGTTTGTACAACAAGACTAGCAAATGACTGTGTGGAGATTGAAGCAACCTACGATTACGGTGAGGGCAACCCAACGATATCAGTGGAGACATCAGTGGGATGTGGCGTCATTGATGATTATTGCCAAATTAGTATTGGTGACTTTGTCTGCAATCAATGTGAGCTTGAGGTCCTCACTTCGGATCCTCCAAATGTATCACAGAAAGTCACAATGCTGGCAGAATGTGCGGCTATCTTGAATGATCTGGTGAAACCACAAGACCAAACCATATTTCTCAGTGAAGCTGTGGGGTATTTCCAGCTGGATGAGAATGAGGTGGTGTGCCTTTCCGGAGGGCCATCACTAGTACCATCCATTTACCCCTCATATTCTTACAGCGAAGCACCCTCATATGTCTACAGCGATTTTCCATCGGGAGGAGCATCATCCACAAGCCCGTCTCTATTGCCACCTGACACAAGTTGTTACAGGGAAAAGGGAATCAGCAGCTTTGAAATAGATGATGACGCAGTTGTTGACTGCTATGATGTTGACATTGACATTTGCACCACAAGGCTAGGCAACGAGTGTGTGGAGATTGAAGCAACCTATGACTATGGAGAGGGAAACCCGTCAATGACAGTGGCGACTTCAGTTGGGTGTGGCATTATTGATGATTATTGCCACATTAGCATTGGTGCCTTATTGTGCAATCAATGTGAGCTTGAGGTCCTCACTTCAGATCCTCCAAATGTATCACAGAAAATCACAATGCTGGCAGAATGTGCAGCAATCTTGAACGATCTGGTGAAACCACAAGACCAAACCATATTTCTCAGTGAAGCTGTGGGATATTTCCTGCTGGACGAGGATGTGGTTGTGTGTGTCTCTGAAGGGCCGTCATCAGTGCCTTCACAGACATGGGCACCTTCACAAACATGGGCGCCTTCGCAAACATGGGTGCCCACACAAACATGGGCGCCTTCACAAACATCGGCACCTTCACAAACTTCACAAATCCCATCCATTTACCCCTCATACGACTACAGCGATTTTCCATCCGGAGGAGCATCATCCACAAGCCCGTCTCTATTGCCTCCTGCCACCAGTTGTTACAATGAAGAGGGAATCAGCAGCTTTGAAATAGACGATGACACAGTTGAAGACTGCTATGATGTTGACATTGACATTTGCACCACAAGGATTGGCACCGACTGTGTGGAGATTGAAGCAACCTATGACTATGGCGAGGGAAACCCGACAATATCGGTGGCGACTTCAGTTGGGTGTGGTATTATTGATGACTATTGCCACATTAGCATTGGTGCATTATTGTGCAATCGATGTGAGCTCGAGGTTCTCACTTCGGATCCTCCAAATGTATCACAGAAAGTCACAATGCTGGCAGAATGTGCGGCTATCTTGAATGATCTGGTGAAAGCACAAGACCAAACCATATTTCTCAGTGAAGCTGTGGGGTATTTCCAGCTGGACGAGGATGAGGTTGTGTGTGTCTCCGAAGGGCCATCATCGGTGCCTTCACAAACATGGGCGCCTTCGCAAATCCCATCGATTTACCCCTCATATGTCTACAGCGACGCACCCTCATATGTCTACAGCAGTTCCCCATCGGGAGGAGGATCATTTTCGTGCTATGACGACCTTGCTGAGGGCGAGGTCAAGAATGACGATTGCTATGCTGTCGACATTGGCATTTGCAAAGAAGATTTTGGTGGTGGTTGTGTCGAGACATATGCTACTTACGAGTACTACAACAGCGTACACCCAGGAGGCAACCCACGCGACGTTTATGGGTATGTCAATATTGCAACAACTGTGAACTGTCCGGGGCAAGAGGATTTCTGTAGCGCATCAGTTTGCAGTGCCTGTGAAGTGTCGGGCGACACGGTTGCCCTGTTGGATTGTACGTTTTTGTCACCTGCAGACCAGACCGTGAGCCTGGCCGAGGGAGGCGGCTATGCGACGTTGGAGAATGACGAGGAAAAATGCAACGCCGTCTTTGATTCTTCGATCGTACCATCTACAGCTCCAAGCATTGTGTCTACCTCGTCTTCTTCTTTCAGCATTATGTCTCGTGGCAGTGACGCTTTCACGACACGAGACTTCAACGGAATTGTCATGACGCTGAAGCCACACTTGACATTCCACTTCTTCCCTGGCCATCAAGAAGATGAACCCCCCGAAGCCAGTCAAATCTTGATCCTGTTGGAGAGAATCGAATCCTATTTTCGAGATGTTCTTGCCGAAGACCATGCTTTGATGAATATTCAATTCGATGACATCCAAAAAGAGTACCAAGTCCATCCGAAACATCAATTTGAGCTATCCTTTGTCGCCAAGATCACGTTTGATGCTGCCGAAGAAAGCGCAAGTACTCTCAAGACAAGGGTAGTGACTGATATGCTAGCAGACGACCTCAATCTACGAGAGTTCGTAGGTCGCCGTGCCAGGTTCGTTGACGAGGACCGCACAATCCGAAACGGTCTGCTGTATTACACGTCAAACGTCCGAGCTCGAATAAGTGGTTCGGTGATAGCCTAACTAGCATGCTACGTACTATTGCATAGCGATAATGGGATTAAAGTGGGGCTAAACAACTGTAACTGTATCTCAGCGGCACCGGACATATGATAGTAAGACCATCATCCTCGAACCGAACGTGAGATGCCGTTCCGGTACCGATAGTGTGGATGGCTTCCCACTAACGAAAGCAGTCAGTAGTTGCAGCCACCCCTTGCCCACAACGCAACGTGCCCACCCATGCATGCAGCACCATTCGCTAGTAGGTACTTGTACTGTAACAATGCACCTGCCTATTCATCATTCAACCGACTTGCTTTGCTGCACTACTTTGCGAATGATGAATCGGATGCATTCATTTCAGGAACGCTTGAGAGCTCGGGGTGTACGATTTCATTGCAAATGAAAGAATTGTTGCTGTTGTTTCTGTTAGACAGGAACGACCATACCACGATGACAGCACCGCTTCCCGTCTGCTCAGCGAAGTTAAGCATCGTCGGGCCAGGTTAGTACTACGGTGGGGGACCACGTTGGAATCCCTGGTGTTGTTCTTTTAGTCCTCCAATACGGTATGTAGCATCTTATTGCCATGCCTTATCATTGCTCTTCACAGCCGTGATCTTTCAAGTTGCTCGTTTTGAGACGAAAAATGAGTGGCTCTGGGGCACTGATCTCTCGACACGCTTGGTGGCGACTGAGTCACGAGTGCAGCAATCGCGGCTTGGCTTGCGTGTTGGGCTTCGCCTCGGCTTTTGTTGTTTCCTTCAAAGATCCAATCGTCGGGATGCATAAAAAGATAAGGTAGCCAGCACAAGGTTATGGAAGGACGAGGAATGACATCCTATGGGTAAAGACAAGAAAATAGTGGGCTCCAGCTCCTCCTCTAGCACGTGCTAGCTAGCTGCTAGCTAGTCATGATGTACGAGAGCCCTCCTGCGAGCTCTGGTTGGACCAAGCGACGGGCTTCTTCTAGCAGGCCTTCAGTGGAATGTTCATCCAGGCGCTCGGTACTTCCTCCTTTGAGTGTCGGCACCACCTGCTCGAACAATTCCAACGAGAGCGTGCGGTCAGCACTCAATAGCAACAACAATAGTACTAGTACTACTAGCAGCAGCCGAGTGAATCCCTTGGCTCGACAGAATGTGCTGTTTGTCATTCTGGGCCTTGGGGTTTTTCTACTGTTGGGAAACACTGTGTTTTTGTTTGTCCAGCTCATGGACACGGACCAAGAAGCACAGGGGAACGTGTTCTTTCGACATTATCATCGGCATCATGAGCGTCTCAAAAATCTATTCCAAAAAGATTGGGGAGGAGGAGACGAAGAAGAAGCATTACCTGTGTTGCCAGGGCATACCAGTAATATCCCACCAAAAACCAATATTGTACCCCAAGATGAGTCCATCATGCTTCAAGAGATGGAAAATTCCATTGCCAAGAAATTGAACATGACACAGAATCCAAGCAGCCCAAAGATTCTGTCTTGTAGAAACAGTGATTGTCAACGAATTCTTTTGGAAGAGGAGCAACCTCCTCAAGTGGTCTACTTGAATGATCTGGATCAACCACGGTACTTGTGTGGCAGAACCATTGAACCCCATGGACTCTTGGTACTCAGCCAGGCCGAGCATGATCAACTATGTAACAATCCACAACGACAACACCCACATTACGTCCTTTCCACACTCTTTCCCGTCTTGCCCACACGAAGCAACCACATTGAGAAAGGCTCTCCTCTCGGGCCCATCAAGCTGGGGATCAAAGGAGTCAGGCTTTCCCGGTCAGTCCGATTCACCCGATTCCGAGGACCCTGTGATGTTAGCTGTTACTTTATACCCAACAACCTCAACACTATAGCCATTCTGAGAACCGTCCAAGGGACGGATTGGCAACTTGGTACCTCCATGGAAGGACCACAATACTACGACTCACTTCGCGGTGGCGGCAACAAACAATCCTATCTGGCCACCACGTCGTTGGAGTCCGACATTCCCATGCCCTACTTTTCATGGGATGATTATGCTCCGGAAGGAAAAGTTACAGTTCCGGCGGTAGACTATGACAAGGCCATCAAGGGAGCTGTGTTTATGGCTCGAAACTGTCAGAGTCGCAATCGTCGCGAAGATTTGGTCAAGGCATTGATTCAAAAGAGTATCGCATACAACAATCAGAGCGTTGCAGCAGCAGAGTCGCCGTTTCGCATTGATTCCATATCGCGGTGCCTCCACAACCACGACCCTCCTCCAACAATACACAAGGACGACAAGATTGAAATTGTCAATCAGTATCTCATGTATTTGGCATTTGAGAATCAAAATGCCAATGATTACATCACGGAGAAGCTTTGGGGGTCACTCTTTCGTACCGGCGCCTTGCCGGTCTACATGGGAGCCCCCAATATCGAGGAACATGTCCCGCCTCATTCCATTATCAATGGGCGAGACTTTGCCAACAATGCGCATGCCTTGTGGGAATACTTGCTCCAAGTGGCTCGCAACCGAACCCTGTACGAGTCGTACCATGCCTGGAGAGATCAACCCCTCCCGGAACGCTTTGTACGCAAGTACAATTTTACCCATGTCCATTCCACCTGCCGCATGTGTCGTTGGGCATTTGCCAAGCGATACGGATGGGGTTGGGATCACGAACAACAATCGATACAAGAAGCAGACGTCAGGGAAAATCGAAAGCTTTGCTGGGATGGTAGTACGGGGCTCCTTCAAAGTCCCTTTCGAGAACAATGGTTGTCTCCCAATTTTGTAGAGTTGGAGGTGGAACCAAATGGCAACACGGATGGTGAAATGGGACAAGGGGTGGTGTGCGAGAAACTCGGGGATGACGAGCAGCAACAACAACAAAACTATACTCAGACTCGATCCATACTACTGCCAAACGGCGATTCCGTGAACAGAACAATCTGGAATCATGATGGAATCTTGGATATGTTTGTGGAATTGGAGTCGTCGTCGTCTTCTTCCAACACTGATGCCCAATCTGTGGTACTGAAAATGGACCTTCCCCTGCTGCTCACTGGCAAGGAGGAGGATGAAGAAGTGTCAGAAAAGACCTTGGGAAATCACCAGTTTTGGCTACAACGGGGCGACCGTCGCGTCTCGGTGTTGACCAACCACAATCTACTTTGGGCATCGGATGATGGAATGGTACGGTTGTTTTTCTCCCTCCAATCAAATGTCACATTTCGCATCCGGATTCTAATCGAGCATCTAGATCTGCACAGACCCCAGCATCGTCTGGAGCCGACTTATTTTGGTCAGATTGTCGCCCAAGATTTCTTTCATCCACTGGAAAAGTTTCTGGTTTTGAACGGATAAAAACAGTGCCGATTCAGTGACACCAGTCCGAATGCTTGGTAGTTGGAGAAATTCTCACCTCCTTCATCGTCCACAACGTTGGAAGAGTGCATTAGCGGAAAAAAGATCATGCTCCGGCAACCAACCTAGCTGAAGCTACTTCTGAAACAAACTGTGAAGTGGGGCTGAATGACATGACCACACTAATAATTGAGGGCTCAATCGCTTGTTGGTGCTTGATAGCATCTACGCCGTTGTTTTTGATGGTACTATTCCCTCCAGCCACAATCCAACGCAATGGCTCCCCTTTGACCTTCCAAGATATCAGCAGCGTTCTTTCAACGGCTAGCTAGCTGGTACAGGTGCTTTGAGATCGCATGTTCCGCTCGTTACGGCAGGGTTACACGTACATCATTTTGTACAAGTGTAGGTGTTGGGGTGCATCCATTACGATTCTCGTCACGGGTGCTAAAAATGGGGGGAAATGATGAGTTTACACTTTAGACCGGGCAAGACAAGCACACCAGCTCTTGTAGATAGTGCAACGAATCATCCATTTCACCACAGAGACTAACAGAATGGCTGATATGGCAACACCTTGACAATGATTCAAAACCACATTAATTAAACAAAGAAACCTTCCAAATAGGCAACTGCACCCTGCCACCAAGTGAACACCCTACTAACAAAATTGGTCTGTGTGTGGCTTCCTCCAGTGCCTAGGTTGCCAACTTGAGGCAAAGGATTCAGGATAGGAGAAAATGTGGGAAAGTCAGTTTGTCCCCACATTTGGACAAGTCCATTCTCAGCAAAATCATCGTTTGGAGGAACATCATAACCAGGTGCTCCAACAAGGACTTTAGTCCCATCACCAGAAATGGCGACACTAAATCCCAACCTATCACCTTGCCTGATTCCATCAATATCAAAACCTTGGGCCCTGCTAATCTCTTGAAGGACCCAATCAGTGCCATCAAACTTGTAGATGCGAGCGTAACCAGGGAGACCTGATAGGAAGCTACTTACAGATCCAGCCACAAGGGTTTTGCCATCACCGGATAAATCAATGGAGGTCCCAAATAAATCATCGTATTCATTCCCAATGAGATCACTATGTAGCTCACAAGCAACGGGGGCAGGGTCAGTAATCCAAAAGGTCATGCAGCTTGCACATTTCACATTCCTCAATGTTTACCTTCCCAATTGGACCCATAATTCCTCAAATCTCTGAAAGACTTGAACCCTGCCGACTCTTATAGCCCCAACCACATCAAACTGAGGAGAACTGACTGCAACAATGCTGCCATCATAGTTTAGAGACACTGAATGGCCAAAATTGTCACCAACAGCAGACCCAAACATCGCTCCACCATCAACAAAATTTTGATTGATCGCGAAGCCACTACTGTCGTAAACACGGCATTCACCAAACCTTGTGGAGTCAGAATCAGAGGATCCAGATCCGGGCATTCCAACAGCAAACAAGTTGCCATCTCCAGAGAGTGATACAGACCACCCCAACTCTGCCAATCCAATTTCTCCGTACAGTCCAGAAACAATGGTGATGAGATTATCAGTAACATCTCTCACACGCTCCCAGTCATTGATGAAGCTGTTCCAGAAGTAGGTTGTTGCAAACCCAATTCGGCCTGCAGTTGGGCTGTCATAACCCGGAGCCCCAACTGCTACTTTGTTTCCATCTGCTGACAGTGAAATGGCAAAACCAAAGGTGCTAATTTGAGGAGCCATCCAAGAGAACACCAACAATTGTACTGCATCTTTGCAACCACATCCCTGTGCTTGTGTGGTATTGGAATACCACAACAACTTCATTGATGGGAGAGCCAACAGCAACAATGCTGCCATCACTTGATATTGCAACTGAACGTCCACTACTTAGAAAAAACAAGAGAGGAAAACCTGTCAAGTCTTGACCTTTTTGGGTCCATCTGTTGGCAGCATTCTCGTAGACACGAATGGTGCCAGTTGTCAATTCACGGACCACTATTGTTGTCCCTGTCTCGTCTATGGCCACAGAGTCTCCAAATTCTCCCATATCGGAATCTCCCACAAGATTTCCTCCATATTGGACATATCCACTGATGGGAGCTAACCGGCGATGCTGTTTCATGTTTTCCGCAGTCAGGTCAATGATTGCAGACTTTTGAGGTTCACTGGTATCTTCCCCAGGAACATTAACATTGCTGGTAGGGATCCCCCACCAGAGAAGAATTGCAGCATTGACACACAGAAAGATTGCCCTGGAGAAACCTCGACGAGCATGGAACCATTCTGAAAGATTGAACATCCTCAGTTCAAGGATACGGTAGATACAATTCAACAGATGAGAAGATGGAGCGGCGTGGAGGCAAATGAGACCACACCTTTAGAAAAAGCTTATCTGGGCCTTGAAACTCACCGGACTATAGAAGATTTGCGTCGCAACAGGCCAGCTCGTGTCAGGGAGTTTTGCACGACGATTCTTTTAGAGAAGCGGCAGTTCAACGTAGCTCTGGTACATACCGGTAGCCATGCAGTCGACACTGAGGGACACTCCATAAATTGCTTCCAAGGTGCTCCATGGCGTCAAAACTGACCATGAGCGGGGTTGTCTGGTACCGGTACCAGGGAATCCAATCCAGAATGAGGCGGCGTGCACTAACAAATTGCAAGCCCAGATCGCGATAAATGGCTGTTTAGGGTACCAGGTGGTAGCTGCAAAGGACGAAGCTGTTGCTTTCGACTCAGGAAGAAACATGAAAACTTCTCAAGAATATGTCTAGCTAGCTTAGCCAGGAGAGTTATGAGGTGATCAGAAAAGAGAGCATCTCGGTTGTTTTGGTTCGAAACACAACATTCTCCGCAAAACTACTAGAGTTGTTTTCTCTTTCTAGTAATCCTTCATCTCATGACTAGCCAGCTAGCCAGGCTAGTACCGTAATCTAGATTGTCTAGGCCGACAAGACATCCGCAACTCTGGTGGATTCCAGCAAGACCACTCCCGCATTTTTCATGTCGGTTTGAAATGTTTCCGCCGCCGCTTCAAATCCAGGCACGGCCGAAGCACAATCCGTCAATAGCACAATTTTGGCGGCGTCTTGTTTGGCTCCGTGTTGGACAATATCGCGGACGGTGTAATTGACGCAGTGACTCATGGCTTGTCCACAGACGAGCAATTTGTCGGATTTTTGCAGTAGAGACGCCTGAAGTTTTTCGTTAAAGGCCGTCTCGGGCGACACGGGGACATCGGCTGCCAATGCCGAGTACATTTCGGTGAGTAGATTTTGTCCCTTCATGACAAATTCCACGCTGCCGCCTGTTTGGACACTCCACTCATCGAGTGCTTGACGGACCGACGGGACCATGGCATGTCCTTCCGTGCCAATGAGACAGTGTTCGGGCCATATGCAAATTTGGAACCGACCTCCGGCTTCCAATCGACGCGCGTATTCCAAACAGTACTTGGTGACGTCAATTTGAGTGCCATCTTCCGTCAGGACCGATTCTGGTTTGTCAAAAATGGTCTTGTCAAACAATTGGTCCATGGGCAATTTCACCGTGGGACGGGGTTTCCACTTGCCACTCTCAATGTCTGCCGCGGGAATAATGGTAAAAGGAGAAGGACACTCGTCGGCATCGTTGGTCCAAAACTGAGGATGGGCAATGTGCAATTTGTGATGCGAATCCAGCGTCGCCACGATCCGATGAATGTTGGTGGAATGGGTACGAATCAACGACGCTATGCGTTCGGCATCTTCGTTTGCAGTAGGAATGGCCAAACTCCCACCGGGGTGAAAGTCACGTTGCACATCCACCAACAAGAGTGTATTGACCGTCATGGTCGAGCAACTAATCAGCTAGATAGTTATGTTACTACTTTAGGGGTGGACTCTTGTGTGAGGAGGTGAAGAAGGTGCTCATCGTACAGGAGGAGTTCGGCAGAAAAGGATCTTTGTGGTCGGCTTAGTCGAAGATCCAACTATCTCTCGAACCTTTTGAAATGAAAGCCCTCAAAGTTGTCAAAAGACAGGTTTGGTGAGGAAGATGCTCTTGTAACCTTGAGGAACAGCAATACCAGCCAAGGTCCATGTCCCTTCATTTCTTATGTCCTCTAGCTAGCTAGTAGTCGCTCTCTCGGGCTTGGACGCATGAGATTGTAAGAGGAAATCCTTGGATTGATTCTGGTGCAAGTTGAAAGTTTCGTCCCTCCCTCCTCAAGCCAGAGTGCAACGTTTCAATTCGATACCGTACATAGTAGCTAGCCCTCGATGTGAACAACAGCCAGTGGTTGGTGTTCTCCATCTTTGCACACGTTGCGTGATTTAGTGATGTAATGCCACCCTGCCATGCTTTGAATATTCCTTGGCTTCGTACCTGTTCGTGGACCGATGAAAGAGGTTCACCTCCATACCGCAACATGGATGGTTGGCTTGCTTGCTATGGATCCTCCCTTTGGTCTTCGTCTGGTTCGCCCCTCGTTGCAGGCGGCTATGAGCGAGCTATGCTATGATAGACGCTGCTTCCTCAAGCTTTGCAGGCATCTTGAAGTATAGTATTTCCTCGGCGGAAGCCTCCGTACTTTATCACTTTAGTATCCATCCACAGGCAGCAAGTTCTCTTGAGCGGAGGAAGAAATGGCTACTAGACATGCAATAACAACACCATGTCCCATCACCTTGCCGTAGGAACCTCTTTGTTCAATCCAACACTGTGCAAGCTAAGGTGAATGAACGTCGCAACGTCGCTCAGCGCTTCTTCTTGTTCGATTGTTCATGCTGCGACGTAGAACTTCGCTCGCATTCCTACCGTATTCATTATCTGCCCCTTGACCTATAGCATATCGCGTCGTGATATCCGGCCGGTACTATTTTCAATCGAAGTGCCAAGTTCCAAGGGAGGTTTCGAGTTGTTGGTTGTTTGAAGTTTGACTTGCTTGAAAAGCGAACTGGCCGCTTGGCCGCTTGATACAGTGGTTGAGCAAGGGCTCAACACTAGTAGCTAGCTAGCTAGACATTCGACACTGTACTAAAAAGCTAGAGCTCTAACTACCGACTACATACCGTACATACTACTGCATAGCAGCCAGTTAGCTAGCCAGAGGGGTATCTACTGGCTAGTGCTAGCTAACTACTCTGGAGACATGTGTAGATTGTGCAGTGGAGAAGACTTACTTTGTTGGAATAGGTTGACCGAACCATGTCGGGAGACAATTAGATTTTCTAGGTCGATATTGATATGGGAGTGGGCACCATCGATAAGCATGAGACGAGGCGGTGAAGCAGATTCGATTCGGAGTTCTCTGGCATTCACCTGATTGGGGTTCGCTGATCCTACAACTTCTTCGAACCTGGAGCTCTGCACTCTGCACTCTGCACCCTGATCTTGGGAACTTGGAAGATCACTCATCGCTTTCTTTCTTGCGTTGTTGTTCATCGAAGCAAAAATTGAAGCTGCGAAACTAGAGCTAGCGACATGGTCGGTATAGCCCGTGTAAAGAAGTGATCAATAAAGCGAAATTGTCCCAAGTGCTACAAATAGATTAGAAGGAAGGGTTGGGGTTGGAAACCAAGGGCTGTATCCATTGAAGAAAGCAAGTTGAACGGAAAGGTCAGTTGATGAAGTTGTACAATGCAAACGAACCACTGGCCGCAGCAAGGTCCGGAATTGGTCTGATTTCAATCGTGCATAGCTGGCTAGTTTTACGGAAATGAGATTTCCGTAAATTACGGAAACCAGTTCTACGGAAATGTTCGTAAATTACGGAAATGTTTCCGTAAAACTCTAGTTTTACGGAAACTTTCCGTAGAACTAATAGTTTTACGGTTTTAGTCGTGTTTACAGTAGGTTCTATGAGTGTTTTGGACACAGTTCTACGGAATTAGTTCTACGGTTTTTAGTTCTACGGAAACATTTCCGTAGAACTACAGTTTTACGGAAAAAGCGTAAATTACGGAAGTTGAGTTTCCGTAGAACTGAAATCCGTAATTTACGGAAATCGACATCCAGTCGTGTTTAGACGACCAATTCCGGACCTTGCAGCGCTCGTCGTCGGCAGATAGATGTGATTGCCAGGAAGACAGTTTTGGGGGGTCCCTAATAAGTCCCGTGTAGGCTTAATCTTGGTTTGACCTGGCCAATCTCGGTCAATCTTTCGGTCAATCTTGGTCAATCTCAGTCAATCTTGGCTACCGTCCGTCAATCTCGGCTATCGACCAAGATTCACCGAGATTGGAAAATAAGGCTTATTGGCTGGCCTAACTCTGTTACCGTAACAAATAAGATTTAACAAGAGGGACCAAAAAGTTCAAAAGGAGAATTAAGATACCTTCAAGTCCCTTAACTGAGACCCAGGAGGACCAAGATTGACCGAGATTGACCAAGATTCAAGACTTATGAGACCGAGATTCAAGACTCAAAAGAGAGATGCCGGTTTGAGTTAACAAGAATGAACCTACTACTATGAATAGTTCGTCATGGCATTGTACCATCATACCATACCATCGCACATGTACAAGCTTCCTCTCCTCTTCTGATCCGGAGTGAGTGGACTGGACGCAATGCTGGTTCATCGGCCGTCAGCAGTGCAGCAGAGAAAACAACAAATAGGTGTGAGTTTCGCTTTATGTGCTCAGCTGAAGAAAACCGGGGACTTACCCTTGTTTTAATTCCTCCAACTTGACTGTCAAGGGCCGAGAACTGACTGTCATCCCATCGTCCATAGGATTCAATGAGGGATGGCTTTCCTTTCTGCACCGGAGACGGTCAGCTTTGAGTGAGGCTTGGATAATACCGGTAGAGGTGCGATCGATCGACTGCCACTCCACTGTGACTCGACTCGAATAAACAACTCACCTGTTAAAGGCCGAGATTTGACTGCCTTCCCACGGTCCATAGAAATTCAATGAGGGGTGGCTTTCGAATCTACACCTTTAATAAAACTCTTGATAATAGGGATAATATGCTTACTCCGTGTTGTATCAGTCGGTCGTTCGTTCGATCTGTTCCTTCAAAAACGCCATTGTGCAGCTGTTGTTGTTGGTTGATAAGCCATCTCGGTTGGATGGCCGAGATCCAAGGCCAATATCGGCCAATCTCGGTCAATCTACCGTTGAATCTCGGTTAATCTTCCGAATCTTGGTTGGATAGCCGAGATTGGCGAGATCCGTGACTCAGCTTCCACCAAAACTGTCTTCCAGAGAGATGCCACCTGGATTCCATTACACCGGATCCATCCTTGGCTCTGTCCCCAAAGTCAGAGTATTTGAGCTGGGCCACAAAAGAGGCCTGTGAGAGATCACAACCAATGCCTACCTGGTAGCTAGCTACTGTAGTAGTTTTCTATCTTCAAAAAGACTTGCAAGAGAGCTTGAGGCAAGCTCTGCCGTTGTTGGTCTCGTTGCACATTATGGATGTCCTCCGTACGTACTGGGACTAAAAGTAGGTACAGTACGATGGTACCCCACCAACATCCAAGAAGACGGCGAGGTGCTCGCTCGTCGGCGAAAGAAAAAGGATTCCATAATTCCAGCTCTGAATGCTTATTCACTTGGTTGTGAGAGAAGGAACGAACGAAACAAGGGAAACTTGCAGAAGGGAACACTGTTTAGGAAAGTAACGAAGTTTTATTTTAAAAGGCTACACCTCATCAGACAATCCCGCTGAACGGTGCCGTGATGAACCCACATAGACCACCTCAGACGCACAAGGCGCCTACTTAGGAATGGGCGTAGTGTAAGCCCCCCACCGGAGAAATTGAGCAAAACTCCGGAGGGTGCTGTACGACTAACTATCTAGGCTAGGCTAAATGGCCCGCTATTGCTATGGGAATCCCACATTGGTGCATAGTTACCCTGCTTGGGAAAGCTGCTCTCGTGCATGCTCGTCCCTCATTGCTTTGTCAACAACTGGAAGCCAATTGGCCAACCATGCATTGATATCCCCCGGCCCTTTGGCCATTTGTTCTTCCAGGGGTTGTTTGAAGATGGTATCAAGGAGATGTTCTGGGAGATGTTCTGGGAGTAGATCCGCTTTCTCATACAGGAGCTCTACTTCTCGTTGGAGCTGCTCGTGTTTCTTGCGCCATTTCTATTCTTGATCTTGGCCGTGCCTGCTAACGAGGCGTTTTCTCCCACGACTCAGAAGACCAGTGACTCACCCCAGTCGGAGGCCAAGGGATAGAGTTTGCAATACACGGCTCTTAGCCTTATTCGCGACTCGATCCTAGATAGGGTTTGAGTTCGACTCATGACTG